TATCGATAGCTTTTGTATGATTTTGGCGAATTTCATAATTGTTTGAACGCAATAGATAAAGGATTGGTTTTCGATCCATATAATCAGGTGCTAAATCAATTGAGAAGCCAGCTCTTGAAAGACACATGGGTTAGGTTTTTGTTACCAAGGTTGGTCGAAGTGTAGTTTGAATCCTCATATGAGTTTTCATCGCGTGCGATGACCGAATTAATATAATTTAAATCAATAGGAATTATTACGAAACCTCCCCTCCCTTAAGACATTCAGCTCTGTTGGAAACTGTGCCAAGGCGAATTAAACCATCGGGTAAGGTCATACATATTTTTATTAAGGATTTTATTTAAAGCTAATAAGCATTACTTATAATTGACACTTTTAATAGGCCAATTCATTTCTACTACCGTTGCATCTCATAACGTTCATTTACAGCACACTACATGGACAGGGTTGGGAGAATTGTTGTTAGATACTTACGACGGAATGATGAGCGGGTAACATTTGATCTTTATTATAGACCATCATTTCTTTTCATATCAGAGCATTCCGGACATTTAATCATCGACACTTTGTTAATAGTCTGATTAAACTGGAAAGTGATACACATATTTCTGTAACTAGTAGACGTATTATAATTGATTGGGAAATCACAAAACCATCAACAACAATTGATGTAAATAATACTGTTCAAAAACGGAAGAGGAAGGAAGTGCCAATCGATAATAGCATTAGTGATAAATCAATAAACTTAAGGTTCATGACTGCCCCGCGATTTTTTCATTGTATTAAAGTATTAAATTATTATTCTACAGTATTGATATTGTTTTTTTTTTTCGATTGTTAGAGTTAATCGAAAAGTCTCAAAGATAACAGACGAGATTAACACTTTTAATGTTCAACGCAGTAAATCTGCTTCGGCGTTCACGGAGAAAATAGAATCAATTATTACAAAATTAGATCCGGATTTTTGGCCTAATGATCAGTCATCAAATATTGATGATCAAATAGACAAGTTTTTAGAATATTTCACAAAGTCATGGACCTTTCACATTTCTCGTGAAGACCATGGAGATATGATAGAACAAGCAATTAATACGTCAAGGTTCATTTTGGTGCTTATTACTCTTTCACGTCTTTATTGAGTTGAGTCATATACTCACATTTCATTATTAAAAGGCCGAAAGCAACCTCGGATCCACGTTTTTACCGGTTTACACCAAATACAAATCCTTACATTCCATCTTCATATTTTATCGATACTCCGGAAGCACATTCAATGTTAATTACATTTATTGAAAAGATGAATGATATAAATTCGGGAATATTGGATTGTTTATGTATGTACGTTATGCATTTGTTCGGACATTTTGTGCGTTCCGATGATGGAACTCTTAAAGCCTTATGGCTTTACCGTTGGCCTGATAGTTTGAAAGAAGTTATGAGGGCGATTCTTTCTAGAATTGATCTTCGCTTGTTAGAGATGATTGAAAATTCTTGTACCAGTTGGGATGAAAAAAGTGACTTAGTTGAGATAATGATGAATAATAGCGAGGATAACATTTTTATGCAGATGAAGCAAAAGTCTGAGGTATGACACTTGTTCTCCAAATTTGTTTTTATTGATTAATTATATCTCATTAGATTATTTGAAAAATGTTCGCTAGGTCATTATGGGTATTTGCGAATTCTTGTCGGACTCGCAAATCACTAGCACTCGGACTACTTCACATACCGGTCAACAAAACTCTAGCGATATTCAAGAAATTCCTATGGTAAATTGTCAATGGAATAAACATTTCTGAATTATTAATCTTATGAATTTAAATTTAAATTTCTCTGTTTATTTTCATAATAGACATTGCAGTCTACATTAGATATATGTAAAAAGAGTCTTGTGTATTCATATTGGAATATGCAAGACTTTGTGAACAATGCTGGCCTTCGTGCGTTGGAGTCTGAGGTTGGTGACGAATGGAATCGTCATTACAACATGTGGAAAAATTGGTCATCTCAATTGAATGCTCGGTTAGTTTAATACATAAAGCATAATATTCGAGATTTCTTAATTCGATAAGTTCGGTTAATAGCCTTTTATACAGGTTATGGTGGTGTATCGCTCGAATAGAATTATGGAAAGGAGAATTAGACAAATCTATTGCGTCTTTCGAACAGTGTAAGCAATACTACACTTTTGGTGAACATAAAGAAGACATCGTTATAGTAAACTGGTAAGGATAATTTTTTTTTCCCAGTGTTTGCAATTTCTGAAATTTGATCTACAATTATAATAAATACCTTTTCTTTATTAATCTTTTATAAAGTTGCTTTGATTCAAACATAAATATCTCGACTATAAATTATAAAATATGTATACTGGAATCTAGCAGAGATGAGTCACAAAGTGAATGGACACGCACTGTTTCGCATTTCACTGACTCTATAAAATTTTTGCAAAATGCCGTGTCGGATGTCATCAGTCAAGACAGGGTCATCCATTTTTGGGCTACTATTCATTCGGTTAGATTATAAATTAGCATTGTCAAATGAAATAAGGAAATTTCATAAGGATTCTCTTGCAATTTGATTGTACTAAAATGATTTTCTTAACTTCCAGGCAAACGAATCGCTCGCCGAAGTGATCAGATGCCTCTCAATTAACAATAAATTCGGTATGTTTTTGTCGAAACTACAAAGTTCAGATTATGAAGCGTATTAAGTATATTGTTAAATTTCATATGTAATTACAGTTGACTTGTCGCCGAATGATCAAAAAACTTTTAAACGATGCCTTCATGTACTGTACTCAACAGCTCTTGAAATCCTTTTTCCTCGCAGCATGGAGTTGGAAAGAGCGACAGCAGAAATCAGTGAACCACTAAATATATTATGTGTTCGAACTTGGGTTTTGTTTTGTTACTTGCTACTACAAGACATGCCAAATTTGTTAGCAGACGACTTTGCTGAATTTCTTGAGGCAGTGCATGACCAACTTGGAGTACGTCACATATGCGGAATTGATAATGGTTTGTTGATAAATGTCTTATTTTATTTTATGTCTTTTCATTTTTGTAATTATGTAATTTTCCTTTATACTCGCTGTAGGCATATTTCTGAAATTTGCCCTCAAGACACTCACTGAATTACACCCATCGGAGTATAGACAACATGAGTATCAATGCTGTCACTGTCTATATAGAGTTTCCTTAAGCGTAAGTATCTTACATCTTTTTGTAAACTTATTTAAAACTACCGACTCACGAATATAAACAGGTTGACACGACTCCACCGAAAAATCATAACACCCCCGCTGTTGACCTCGACCATGAAACCGCCGAGTTATTGTTCCGAGAAATACGAAACTATCTAAATCAGAAATCAGACAAGATGTACAAAGCATGGGCGATCAAAAATGATGTCAAAGACACATTAGACAAAATAGCGAATATGTTTCCTCCTCCGCGTGATGATCGTACGGATTTTATATGTGATAAAATTGTTTCCTATTTGTTTTTCGCTGCATCAATGCTAACGGCATTTTTACTATTTATTTAAAAGGTTTTTCTAAATGCAGTTGGAAAACTCGACATTTTCTTGAAGACGACATAAACTTTTACGAGGCAGTTCAATATAAAGAACATAATCATGATGTCAAAGAACTTGGTTCTGTCTCCAGTCGAGATTCTGATAGGGGTAATTCACAATTTTTTTTTAAAAAAAAAATAATAATAATAATTGTCGCGGCTGATGCTGAAATTGGCTGATGCTGAAATTTGGACCTATTTTGATACGAAAATTTAAAAAAATTTTTGGGTGTTTTTTTACCACTTTTTTTTTATAGTTAGGTTAGGATTTAGGGTTAGAATTTATAATTAAAGAGTATATGTGGATTCTAGCAGGGCCTATATTTTAAAATTGGGACCCCAAATTTCAGCATCAGCCGCGACAATAATTATCGAGTATTCTTATTTATTATTAACATAATTTTTGTACGTGATAAATAGCCCTCTCAGACTTATATTATTTTAGAGGCAAGATTCTGTTAAATCAGTTTAAGACACGATCAAAAGCAAATGTGAACAAAGCAGTTGATATGTTAGAAAAGGCGATTGAACAATTTACAGTAATTATTATCACGTACTTTTTAAATTGAAATTAATATTTGATAATTAATTTTAATAATTGCCATTGTATATATAGTTTGATCTTCGAAATAATCCACTGCGATTTGCTTCGTGGTATGCATTGGGTACCTGCTATGCCAATTTGGCTGATGAAAACCTTACGTGGAGTGCTGCAGAGATTAATTATAATCGAGCCGAAATCGCAAAATATCAAAAGGTTTTATTAGTTTGAGTTTATCCATCAACCCATCAATCTATGTTAACATAATTAATATTGTTGATCGATGTAGAAATCTTTTCAATGCTTTGCGAGAGCCTCCAAAGTGATACATTGGTTTTCAAACCAGCAATTAACTACACCAGTCGAAGAGATCCACTTTTGGCGAGATTATGGATATCAGGTGTATGCAATGATGTCGGAACCAATGTCAATGGAAGCTTTTTCACTAAGTCCTTCTCATGCAGAAACTTGGCGCAAGCCCGATGATGCACAAGCATGTCAATTTGCAGCTTATTGCTTCGGCAAGGCATTGGAACTTGAATCCCAATTATTGAAACAAAGTGATATTGCAAATATTACTCCAGAATATACACCGAATGATACACCCAACGGGACCGAGCACAACACACCATATGGAACACCTGAAACTCCAACCAATTCCTCAGTTTCATCTGCAAATGGCTCTGCAACTATAGCACCTATTGTCCGGGATTGGAGGTGTTTGTGATTTCATAGCTTTCGTTTGTAGCTACTGATCTGCATACTAAATGGCTTTTCCCCTATTACGTAGAATACCTTACATGATCGGTAAATGCTACCAACGACTTCGGAAGAATCCTGAGGTATAATCGATTTTAGGACTTGCTGCCAGTTGTTTAATCAATTGTTAACAACTATTCTTCTTATTGAAGGTGGTAATACAATTATATAAACTAGCAGTATCACGAACACCAGAGAGGTCAGGTATTGCTGGTCAAGAGAAAATTTTGGATGCTGAATACAAGTTGACATCTTCACTGGCAAAATATTTAATTACTAATAAAATCAAAGTATGCAAATTAATATTCTTTATTCGACTTACGTAATTCTTAGTTCTTTGCGATATATATTAACGTATTTATAATAAAAGGCATCATTTGTTGAACAATCTATTGGCCTTACCGATGATGATATGGCGCATATCGATTATACAAACGAGGGCTCTGTTTTTAATATACAAAAACCAGAATATCAGAGGGCATATCATCTTATATGTACTAAATTGGAAAGTATAAGAAAAGCAGATAAAAACAAGTGGCACCATCGTCCAGTATTTAGGGTGGGTGTTATTAACATTTTTTGTTTTCCTCATCAACTGACCCTTAACCTTGAGTACATCATTTAAGCATGCGTGGTTAATTAACCACGTTGAGCAAAAACCAGAAGAAGCAAAAGCGTTACTGCAGAATCTCTTCCAATTAAAAGCTTCATCTAATAAATCTGTTATGAATGTATGGAAGCCGGAATTTGAAAGGTAATTTTTACAGTTAAACAAAAAAAAAAAAGAATGAACTTGACGTTTATTCAGTATGCTAAATAGAAATTTTGATATTTCTTGGGATACAATAGAGCAGGCAGGCATTTCGTTTATGTACATGAGTATATTTTATTTCTTATTGAATTAGCAAGATCGACTAGAGATATTGCTACACTGAAGACGATGGATACTAAACTATCTAAGGCAGTAAATATACTACTTAAAGAGAGTATAATTCGAGCATGTATGGCGAATGCTTTTCAATACGTAGAACAAACACGAAGTTTTTCAGAAATGGATAATAACGATCAAGATGATGTAGAAAATGAAAATTTAGAACGGTACGAGCCACTTTTGATTATTGAACATAATGAACAATCAAATGTTATGTCAGTAGCTGCCCTTATAACACAAGATGACGATTCCCCGATGCAGTCGGGGATTTTGCAAAAAACGGATAGTGAAATGTCGATCGATTAAGGGTAGGGGGTATGTAGATCATCATATGGTTGGGTGGTACAATAAATTTTGCATAGAAAATAAAATATATTATTAATAAAACTTTATCCAAATTTTATAATACTGTATATATAGATTAAAATGCTTTTTATACAATAGCAAAGTTTTATTAAATAAAATATTTAAAAAAAATATTTTTGTACATTGTAAAATTGTTTTTTAGTTGGTTTAATAATACAAAAACTATATTTTTATTGGTTGATACGTATTATATAATCATTATATACTTTTCGTAAACTTTTGATATTTAAAATTTAAATATTTATATTTTAACAAATGTTTATTAATTTTAATTTACTATTACTAGAATAAGAAAATTTTATATTACAAATTTATTTAATAATTTAAAAATAATTTAATAAAATTTTATAAATTTATTTTATTATACAAAAACAATCTGCATAGTAATATATTTATTTATTGTAGTAAGTAGAATTTATTTTGAATAAAAAAAATTTTTTAAGAGCATTGCTAATTTTTACTGGGGGAAGGTTACCGGAATGCTATATCTTAAAAACGTACCAATATACTTTAGAGATATTAAGTAAAAATGTTTAGAATCTCCAAAAACATGCTAACTAAACTTGGGGTTCTAATATCTAATCCTAAGTTTCGTCTAAAATTGTACTCTAAATTTTAATAAATTAAGAGAAAAAAATTCTTTTCGGTTAAATGTAATTATATATATGTTACGGGTCAAATTGGTTTTTAGTATAGATGCTGGTGAAACTAAATATGCTAGTGAAACTAAA